GAAAAAGCATAGACAAGAATTTCAGAGGTTAAGAAAATATGGTTGGATTGCATTTGATACCAGTAGAGTGAATACCTATATTGATGAGATCAAAGAACATATCAAAGCGTTTATGTACCTTCTAGAAGAGTGTTAGGACCCTTTATAATTTAGAGACAGGGCAAAGGGTTCCCCCAGAACTCCTGAAATCAACGATTTTCTACTTAGAAAGCTGGCCATGCACATTGGAATGATTCATCTCAGAGCATTTTTCATTCTGGTATAATTTTGTTTTTGTATCCCTAACCCCAATGCCCCTGGCATACAGTAAGTGCTTGATTATTTTATGCTGATTGATACTTTACTTTCCCCTCAACTCTCTCTTCACTCTACCCAGGATTTGGAGGATTTCCCACAATCTTTAGGTCAGCCCTTGAAGAGTGGTGGGTCCAACTGAGATGGCATTGATTAGTTGTGATTGAGGTATCAATGTGAACTGGCATATGGGTAGCAAGCTGGTGCCAGCATGCCTACCTTTGAGTACATACAAAAATAAAGATTTCTAAAGGAGATGAGAGATTGGGTGGATCTTTTAAATGGCCATATGGGCCTCCACGTTCTGTATTCTACCAAGCAGGTGTTGGAGGGCCCCTATCCAGTGCATGCTGGGAATGCTGGATGGTGCCTCACTGAAAAGAGAGAATCCCCTGGAAGTTTCTTGGCTATTCCTGTATAGAAATCAGACCACTGCTCCTCAGGCAGGCAGATGGAAGGAGAGTGAGGGGGAAAACCACCCTCTGCTTTTTTACCTGTATCCTGGCTACAACCTCCCCATTTGTAGCCTCTGTGTGTTAAGTCTAGGTATGTAAGATGAGAGAACATTTTCTTTCCCCAAACTTCAGGAGAGTAGGAGGAAGGTAGAGAAGAAGGAGATAGAAGAGACTGGAATTAACTTGCACAGTAAGTGCAAATTGTTGATTACTTTATGCAAATTCTCTTGAAACCCTCTGTCTCATTTCCCTACCTAGAGTTGAAAAAGACAAGCTTCTCTCTATCAGCAGGGATATGTTAGCTCATAGAAATTCAACGCCTCCTATCAAGGCATTGAATGGCACCGGCTGGCTGGCACCGTTATCTACAAAGGGAATCTTCAATGAATTTGGGGAATAGGAATAATGAGCCTGGGATGTGATAAATGATGCCTGCTGGAAAAGTTGTCCAAAAACACACACACACAAGGTAGCAGTAGATTAAATAAACACCACAGCAAGAAAATTAGCTAGGAATTGGAGCTGAAAGTGAGGCATCTGTAATCTGTTGGGGCCAACCCATTCATGCAAAGACCCATCAGGGTGCCATGGAATTACTCATCCAGCTAACCTTAATTATCTAAGTTCAGCCAAAAGGCCACATACTGATGTCACAAGGCCTTTTGACTCAAAGAAAATTCTATTTGGATCTTTAGAACAAAGGTCTTTTATCTCCTAGGATTCCAGAATCACCTTTTGAAAATGGTTAAGTATGAGTCCCAGAGGTTTGCCTGGTACCCTCCAGAAGAGGTTTTGGAAGGAATTAGAGACTGCTTCCTTTCCTCTCTGGAACTGCCTCCTTTCTAAATGAGGAACAACAAATAGTTTAGTGGCAAAGCAGTTATGTTCAGTTCTACCTGTGTTTGAAGAGGTATATTCCTAGACCAAAATAACTGGGTCCAAAGGATTAGGAAGGTCTGTACAGCAGAAAGAACACTGGATTTGGAAATGAACCTGGGTTTTAATCCCACTTCTGCTACTAAGTACCTATATTACCTATATCATTTTGTGTGTGTGTATCTATATCTATATCTATATCTATATCTATATCTATATCTATATCTATATCTATATCTATATCTATATCTATATCTATATCTATATCTATATCTATATCTATATCTATATCTATATCTATATCTATATCTATACCTATACCTATACCTATATCTATATCTATATCTATATCTATATCTATATCTATATCTATATCTATATCTATATCTATATCTATACATCTATATCTATCTATCTATCTATATATACATATATATACATATGTATGTGTATATATATATATACATATGTATGTGTATATATATATGTATGTATATGTATGTGTATATATATATATATATATATATATAATATGTATGTATGTATGTATATCTATCTCTGGTGTACTTGATCCTACTTTGTGAGGCTACATGCTGTCAAATACTCATCCCTACTTGTATTCTCCACCATCCCATACCAGCAGGCACTTTGGTGTAACTGCCAAATACTCTCTGACTTTCAACTCTAGAGAGTGAGTTCTCTTTCTGTGTGTGTGTGTGTGTGTGTGTGTGTGTGTGTGTGTGTGTTTGAGGCACTACTGCATCTTTTGTTCTAAGCTAATGTTTGTATTATGGATTACCTTTTTGGACCTCATGACTCCACTCTCCATCCTATTCTAGGGAAATTCTTCCCCTTCAAATTTATACTCACTGTGTTTCCTAGATACCTAATCTTCCATGGCAGTTATGATAAATGTTTAATTGAAGTAATAAAAGCACAGTAAAATGAGGTACAAAGGAGGACTGGCATAAATCCTTATTTACTCCATCATGCAGCCATAATATAAAAGCCACCTTGTTTTGCACAACCTCCCAACCACCGCAAGGAAGGGGTGAATGCACCTGGGACTCCAGAGCAATCAAACAAAAACCAATTAATGTCTACTATGCACTAGGCATTGGAGATTTAAAAAAAGAATGAAATGACATCTATTTTTAAGGAACTCTATATTCCAATGGGGAAGGGGACAGTATATTTGTAAATATATATAGAATAATAGTCTATATACATCTGGTCCTGGGCAGCTAGGTGGCGTAGTGGAGTGCCAGGCCTAGAGTCAGGAAAACCTGAGTTCAAATTTGACATCAGACACTATAACTGTATGACCCTGGGCAAGTCACTTAACTCTGTTTGTCTCAGTTTCTTCATCTGTAAAATGAGCTGGAGAAGGAAATGACAAACCACTCTAGTATCTTTGCCAAGAAAACCCCAATTACGATCATGAAAAGTAGGACGCAACTGAAATGACTGAACAACAACAACAAAATACATCTTGTTCTAATTATTGAAGAAGGTCAGGAACTGGCCAAGGACCCTGGCTGCTATACTACACATAAGAAAAATAAGATACAGGTATTAAGTGACACTAAGGTCACACAGTTTAGTTGCAGAAATGGGATTCAAAATAAAAGTTGTTTCAACTTATATCTCTTTTATTCCTAGTGATCTGAAGAGGTCTTTTTTTTTAATATGGGTGCTAATAGTTTTGAGGTCTGTTAAAAACTTTTTATATCCTTCAACTTCTTTTGGGATGGGCACCGCATTTTAAGTAGACCACTGACAGACCAGAGTGTGCTCAGAGAAGGGCAGCCAGGATGGTGAAGGGACTGCAAACCATACATTTAAGGATCTGTTGAAGAAACTGGGGAGGTTAAGCTTGGAGAAGAGGATTTAAGGTGGGGTGGGGACATGATGGCCATATGGGTCAAACTATTTAACCTTGCGGGTCCCTTCCAACTCTAAGATTTTATGATATGCCACAGTGTATCATATTTGTGGTTCAAACTCTGGTCTGGTCTTCATCTTAATGAAAAAAGAAAATGGGAAGGTTGAACATAAGGTCAGGAGTAAAGGTAAGTCCTTCAGGAATTTCATAGGTAGGTATGGCATGTAGTCTGGGGTTGGGGTTGGGAAGACATGTTCTAATTGGCTTTTCCTTCCCTACAGCCCTCAGATGAGGCTGTGGAAGCTAGGTCAATCAATGACACATCTCCAGAGTGCCTGCTTTGGGCTTAGCATTGTGTGGGATGCAAGAATATAAGGTGTAGCCCTTGTTCCATTAGAATGCTTTTTCAAGAATTTTAAGTTGCTTCTCTTCATGTGGCCAGTTCCTTTCTGTTTGTGGTTTCACCCCCTCCAGAGGGGGTACTTCTGGAATGTAGGAACCCCAGAGCTACCTCCTCTTTCTCTTTGGGAGCAAGGTTCCCTCAGAATTCCTTCAGAATTTTTCTGATCTCCTTTTCAACCTTTTCTATCAATGGCTCCTCCCAACCCAAGAGAGATATAATTTGTTTTCTTCCTTGAATGTTTAAGACTAGGTGACATTTAAAAGAAAGTGACTTAAAATCTAAGGAGACTGCTAACTGATTTTCAGAAGGTCTGTAGGATTTCTTCACTTTCTATCAGTTTTTACAAGTCATATCAAGCTGCCTTGTTGCTGTTCCTTACATACAATATTTCATCTCTGATCTAGTCCCTCGTGCCTGTAGGGTACTCCCTCTTTACCTTGGTCTTTTAGAATTTCCACTTTCCTTCAAAGTTCTGTTCAGACTCTATCTACTATGTAAGGTCTTTCCTGAGTCATCCCCCCACCGCAAGCTGCTAATGCCTTTCCCCAAAACTTGCCTTGTATTTATTTTGTTTATCCATCCATCCATCCATCCATATATGTATATACATACATGTGTGTATATATAAATATAAACACACACACACACACGTGTGTGTGTGTGTGTGTGTGTGTGTGTGTGTGTGTGTGTGTGTGTTCCCCCAATGGAATATAAGTTCCTTGAGGGCAGGTATTCTTGATGCAATAGAGTGCTGGACCAGGAGTCAATAGGGCCTGAGTTCATGTCTTGCATCTTATACTTATTACTTGTGTATCCCTAGATAAGTCACTTAAACTCTCTCAGCCTCAGTTTTCTTATCTATAAAATGGAGATGATACCTTGAAGGTTGTTGTGAGGATGAAATGAGATATGTAAAGCACTTTGCAAACTTAAAGCACTATATAAATGCTAATATTAGTATTTTTTCTTTGAATCCCCTGCACCTGGCACGGTGCCTGATACATGGTAGGTACTTAGAAAATGTGTGTCGATTGATTAATTGACCTTTGGCTGGGCTCTTCTTGACTCTTCTCATCTTCTTGAGACCCTTGATTCACACAAGTTACTTTTGGGGACAAGGCACTATCCCAGAAAACAGTAGTTGTGGCCATGGCAAGCTTTTTCCTGGGGCTTCTGGGTTCACCTGCAAATATAAGATTTCAGCCTGAGAACGGAGTAAAGGGCAGGCCTTCTACATGTCTCTATTAAATTGTGTAATGTTAGATTTCGCCTGTTCTAACCTGCCAAGATCCTTTATGGATCCTGGTTCCATTATCCAATGAATTTTATAGGCTAGCCTTACCAACCTTGGTGTCATCTAGCAAATCTAATAAGAATGCCATCTAGGTTATATCTTCATCCACAATTTTAATTTAAAAGCTTGAACAGAACAGGACTAAGGACAAGGTATCATAGACTCCAAAGAAAGAAGAGACTGTAGAGATCACATAGCTTAATAGTTCTCAAACTTTTTGGTCGCAGAACCTCTTCTATACTCTTAAAATTGTTATTTTGTTGTTGTTTTTTGTTAGGCAATGGAGTTAAGTGATTTGCCCAGGGTCACACAGTTAGTAAGTGTCAAGTGTCTAAGGCCGGATTTGAACTCAGGTCCTCCTGACTCCAGGGCTCTATCCACTGTGCCACCTAGCTGCCCTACTCTTAAAATTATTAAGGACCAGAAGAACTTTTGTTTATGTGGGTTATTTTTAATCAATATTTACTGTATCAGAAGTTAAGATTGATAAAATTTAAAAATATTTATTCATTTAAAAATAACAAGAAACACATTGTATGCTAATATAAATAAGTTTCATTTTAAAAAACCACATTTTTCAAAACAAAAATTTGACAAGAAAAGTGGCATTGTTTTATTTGTATTTTCCAAATCTCTTTAAAGTCTGTCTTAATAGGAGACAGGATTCTCAAACCTGCTTCTACAGCCAATCTGCTGTAATATTTTGTTGACAGATAGATAGATAGATAGATAGATAGATAGATAGATAGATAGATAGACAGACAGACAGACAAAAAGATAATAGATGGACTATCCACCCTAATATAGATATCTAGTTGGAAAGGCTGGTATATTTTAATAGGCAAATAATGTTTAATTATTATTGTGAAAATAGTTTTGACCTCACAGACTCCCCCCTCCCCCTACAAAGGGCCTCAGGGAGGTGTAGTCAACAGGGCCAGTATTGCTCAACAGATGGTGAAGGCTGAGGACTGAAAAAAGGCTAATGGGTGGTTGTTTAGGATGTCACTGGCGACCTTAGAGCAGTTTCTGTCAAATGACAAAAAAAGGCTGAAGTAGTTTACCAAATGTCATAGGTCATCAAGGTGTGTAAAAGAAAATTAGTTCCAAAGCAGGGCTGATAAAAGTTTTTGACCCTTAGAGCAAAGGGTAGGGTTGGTTAAGCACTAGAGACAAACTTCATGAGTAGGAAGACTAGAGTTAAGTAGAACAGATAGAAATCATGTTGGAGGCTAAGAATTTGAGTCCAAAATGAGGTTTTCTTTGACTTTCTTCAGAGCAGAAGTGTCAACCATGATGCCCCAAGTCAAAGGCAGCTCATATCACTTCCCAGTGTGGCTCAACCAAATTAAAATATAATTGGGAAGTATTTAACAAAATAAATAAGAATACAGAAAAGGCATAGAAAATATTAATATGTGGGTTTTTTTAAAGACAATATGTTCCCACAAGGATCCTTATATACAATTTAGTGGCCCCACTTCTATTTGAGTTTGACACCACTGCTCTAGAGGACCCTTTTGAGATGACCAAAAGGATAGAAAATAGACTTAGGAGTAGCAACTTGAATTCAGGAAACAGGAAGGAATAATAATAGATAAAAATAATAGTTAAAAAAAAAAGGAAGACAGATGAAGGAATAGGCAATTGAGTCAACTAAAATAGGAAGGTGAAAACTCACATCCCAGAAAACCTTAAAGGTTGAACCTCTGGTTCAACCTGTGTGCAAATTCTCTCTATAATTCCCATGCTATCTGACTACTGTGTCAGATGTAAGAGTTGACCCCAAAGTCTTCTTTGACTCCAGGTCCAATACATTTTCCATGACTGCACACTATTTGATACCAGAGAACTGTGATACCTCTCTTTCAGCCCTTTCCCAGAGCAAAGCCTTCATCTTAGTTTGGTATTCTAGCTACTCCAATCCCAGTTGTGCCACTGGCTATCTATATGGCTTTGGACATGTTTAGTCTCCCTGGACCTCAGTTTCCTCACATATAAAATGAGAGGATTGGACTATATGTCACTTCTAACTCTTAAATGTTTGATTTTACAAGCCTGTGCCCCAGCCCATGTCCTTACCAGCGTGGTTGAATCAGGAGGGAGCATGGCAGATCTTGTGTATCACTTCAGGGAGGAAGCACAAAATGCCAGCAACTGCCATAAAAGATCAAATTTTGGGAGAAACAGCTGAGTCAGACAAATGCTAAACTACCCCCAGTTCCCTGTATCTTGCCCCCTGATCCAGTGCAAACTAGCAGCCTGAATCCAGCAAATAATTTTCTAGCTAGTCTCAGTACCTCAGACTGTCAGTGCTGTAAAGTGTTATTGACTGGCCTTTTGGCTCGCCCTCCTATTGATCTAGATCAGGGCTGTGCTCCATACTTTCCCACAGCAAGAATTTCCCTTACCCAGCCCTGGAATTTTGCCAAGTCATTGGCATTCTCTATCTCTGACCCATGTGGTCCTCTACTGTATCTATTTTATTTAATGTCAAGGGCCAGTTGGAAGAGGACTGTTTGCTCATCTGGATGGTAAGTAGCAGAGGAGGGCATAGGAGAGGACAAAACTGAGTAGACAAAGAATGGGCATACTAGGAAGAAAGAGACTGATTCAGTTGTCAAGGTGGTTTGTTTTTTTCCACTCCGTCCTTGCTGTGGTTTCCATTCCCCACCTCCACACACACACACACACACACACACACACACACACACACACACCCCCAAGTGCTCTATGACCCTCAGGTTGTCCCCTTCCTGTTTGGTCTCACCCTTCCCCCTTCTCACCCAAGAAGGTATGTGATACAGTGTTGAAAATCCTGGCCTGGTAGTATAGAGTTTGGGTCCAGGCTCTGCCAGTAAGTCACTGTGTAACTCTGGACAAGTCACTTCCTCCATATGTGTTTCAATTTCCTTTTCTGTAAACTAGGAAATGGGGAAGGTAGACTAAAAGCTAAGAGGTTTTCCACCACTAACAGTGTTCTATTTTCTTTTTTAAAATTTTTTAAAAAATAATTTTTATCCATTCTGAATTAAAATACAAAAAGACAAAAAAGAACATGTTCATGCTCACAGCACAACATAAAAATAAGATTCAGTATAAAACCATGAATTTCCATATGACACTGTTAACTTTTTTTAAAAAACTATGTAATAAATGCTACACATCATTTTCAAACCTATCTTTTTTTTCTATGCTTCTAAGTTTTCTTTTGCTCTCTGCTGTGCACTTTTTATTCTTTTTCTCCCTCCCTTCCCACCCCACACTAGAGAAGGCTACCATTAAACACAAATACGTGTATATATGTATATATGTATATATATATATATATATATATATATATATATATATATATATATATGCGTGTGTGTGTGTGTGTGTGTGTGTATGTGTGTGTGTGTGTGCGTAAAACCATACTATACCTACTTCTATTTATCAGTTCTTTCTCTGGATGTGGATAGCATCTTTCTTCATAGGCCCTTTAGAGCAATACTCAAAATGGCTTAGTTGTTCAAAGTTGTTTTTAGATCAATATTGCTGTTACTGTGTTCAATGTTCTCTTAGTTCTGTTCACTTCACTTGTTTCATGCATGTTTTTCTAAAACAATAAGTTTATCATTTCTTGTAGCACAGCAGTATTCTCTCACAATCATATACCACAACTTGTTTAGCCATTCCTCAATAGATGGGCATCCTCTCAATTTCTAGTTCTTTGCCACCACAAAAAAAGAGCTGCTATAAGTATTTTAGAATATATAAGTTCTTTTCCTTTTTCCCTGATTACCTTGGGAAACAGACCTAATACTGTTATTGCTGGGTTAAGGGGTATAAGCAGTTTTATAACTCTTTGGGTATAATTCCAGATTGCTTTCCAAAATGGTTAGATCCACAGCGCTACCAAAAGTGAATATCCCAATTTTTCCACAACCCCAACAGTTGTTGCTTTCCTTTTCTATCATTTTAGCCAATCTGATTAGGTATGAGATGATATCAGAAAGTTGTTTTAATTTGCATTTCTCTAATCAATAGTGATTTATGGCATTTTTTCATATCACTATGTATAGTTTCTATTTCTTCATCAAAAAACTGCCTGTTGGGGGCAGCTAGGTGGCACAGTGGATAGAGCACTGGCCCTGGAGTCAGGAGGACCTGAGTTCAAATCCAGCCTCAGACACATAATACTTACTAGCTGTGCAACTCTGGGCAAGTCACTTAACCTCAATTGCCATATATATATATATATATATATATATATATATATATATATATATATATATATATATATATATATATATATATACACAAACAAACAAAAAACTGCCTGTTCATATCCTTTGACCATTTGTCAACTGGGGATATTTGTTCTATTTTCTAAGGCTGTTTCTAGCTCCAATATTCTAAGTTGGACTAGATGGGCACTAAGGTGCCTTCTAACTCTGAAATTTTGTAATTATTTATTCTGTGTTCCATGTTCTAAAGTCTTTCTCACTGATGACATTCTATGCTGTAAAATTATTTTAATAAGCTTGGATGTCCCATAAGTGATCCCATAAGAGAGGCAGACTAATGTAGCAGAAAGAATTCTAGATGTGGAAAGACAGGGCTTCAGATCCTGTCTCTGCTGCTTAATTAGTTATATGACTATGTGGAAGTCGCTTAATTTCTCTGAACCTTCCTCCAGACTCACAACTAGGGAGTGAGGCCTGGGACTTTGTCCCAAGATACCAAATTTAGGGGTCAATGAAAGCATATGTGGCCTAAAATCCTAGAAAGAGGGAAAGTAACGAGCATTTATTAAGCAGACTGATAGGTGATATAGTGGATAAAGCGCTGGACTTGGAATCAAGAAATTTCATCTTCCAATCCAGCCTCAGAAGCTTACTAGCTGTTTGACCCTGGGCAATCTTTTTATACCTCCCTAATTAACTCACTATTTCATTCAGGATAGTGGCTATTCCAAACATATTAATCTCTTCCCAAGACTCCCATGGCTCATGATTTAAGATGAAAGCAAATTTGTTGAGTATGGACCAGGCATTCCAGAGAGCACAGTGGAAGGGATGAGTAGCTTTGGAATATAATATTGGTATATACTGGTATATTGGGTTGAAGAGAATGAAAATAAGGGATAAGGCATTGGGGGGTGGGTGGATAACAGGGTTTGAATGACGACAGAAGTTTGGAATCATAGGAATGGGAAGAATATGACCAGGGTAGAGTTTGTTAATTATTGAGAAATGAATTCAGGTAGATTTTCAATATCCATAGGGCTTTGATTTCAAGATGGAGTTCTCTTAGAAACTGAAGCATTTCAGGCCGGAGGACCAGTGCTTGGAGCTGAAGGAAAGGTGTTACTCCTTTATGCACAAGGTAGGAGACCAGGCTGGAGACTTGATAGAATGGCTTTTCTGGAGGAAATAAAATACTTAAATAACCCAATTCAAGAAAAAAAAAATTGAACTAGCCATCAATGAACTCCCTAGGAAAAAATCTCCAGGGCCAGATGGATTTAAGGTGAATTCTATCAAACATTTAAAGAACAATTAATTCCAATACTATACGGACTATTTGGGAAAATAGGCAAAGAAGTCCTACCAAATTCTTTTTATGATACAAATATGATACTGATAGCTGAACTGGGAAAAGCCAAAGAAGAGAAAGAAAATCATAGACTAGTTTCCCTAATGAACATAAATGTGAAAATTTTAAATAAAATACTAGCAAAAAGATTATATCAACTTATCACAAGAATATTATAGTATGACCAGGTAGGATTTATACCAGGAATGCAGGGCTGGTTCAATATAAGGGAAACTGTCAGTATAACTGACCATATCAACAACAAATCTTACAGAAACCATATGATTATCTCAATGGATGCAGAAAAATCTCTTGACAAAACACAACACCCATTCCTAATGAAAAACATTAGAGAGCATAGGAATAAATGGAGTTTTCATTAAAATGATAAGTTGCATCTACCTAAAACCATCAGCAAGCATTATATGTAATGGGGATAAGCTAGAAGCATTTCCAATAAGTTCAGGGGTGAAACAAGGATGTCCATTATCACCACTGTTATTCAATATGGTACAAGAAATGTTAGCTTTAGCAATAAGAAAAGAAAAAGAAATTGAAGGAATTAGAATAGGCAAAGAAGAAACAAAGTTATCACTCTTTGCAGATGGTATGATGGTATACTTAGAGAATCAAGTAAAAAACTCCTTGAAATAATAAACAACTTTAGCAAAATTGCAGGATATAAAATAAACCAACATAAATCATTGGCATTTCTATATATGATTAATAAAGCCGAACAACAAGAGACAGAAAGAGAAATTCCATTTAAAAGTTACTGTAGACATTATAAAATATTTGGGAGTCTACCTGCCAGGAACTATATGAACACAATTACAAAACACTTTTCACACAAAGTCAGATCTAAATAATTGGAAAAATATCAGTTACTCATGGGTAAGCCAATCTAATATAATAAAAAATTACAATTCTACTTAAATTAATTTACTTATTCAGTGCCATACCAATCAAACTACCAAAAGTTATTTTATAGAGCTAGAAGAAATAATAACAAAATTCATCTGGAAGGACAAAAGGTCCAGAATATCAAGGGAATTAATGGAAAGAAATGCAGGGGAAGGTGGCGTAGTCATACCAGATCTTAAATTATATTATAAAGCAGCAATCATTAAAACTACTTGGTACTGGCTAAAAATTAGAGTGGTGGGTCAGTGGGATAGGTTAGGTATGCAAGACACAGTACTCAATGACTATAGTAATCTGCTGTTTGATAAACCCCAAGACTCTAGCTTCTGGGATAAGAATTCACTATTTGACAAAAACTGCTGGGAGGGCAGATTGGGGAATAGGGTATGCAGAATGCACACCATCTTGGGCTGGGGGGAGGGGAGAGATGGGGAGAAAATTTGAAACTCAAAATCTTACGGAACTAAATATTGAAAACTAAAAATAAATAAATTTATTTAAAAAAAAAAGGAACAGCTTTTCTGCTCTTCCCCAAAAAGGAGAGGTCTACTGCTCAGTATTTTTCCTCTTCTGATCAAGCAGGAGACCTGATGTAATGGAATGACATTTTCTTCCCTTACCCCAAAGGTAGAAACTGGTGTGCAATGGAATAGTGGTTCTCGTCTTCCAAAGGGAGAGAGAGAACAGCCAGAACCTGCTCGATGCAATAGCATTTCTTCTACTTTTGCTACCTGCTTAACTTTAGGAAGAAAGACCTTTACAAAAAGACCTTTTAAAGCATTGGAAAAATGGGGACTATTGTTATTAATAAAGCTGGACATACCTATCACTTCTTGTAACTTCCACCTGAATGGGGCCAACAATTAAGCAGATTTGCTTTCATCTCCTCCTTAGAGCATTTCACATATGGGAATAGAGATCAAATCCTTAGCCTGGCACTAAAGGACTCTACAATCAATCAACAAATATTTATTGACTGTTGGCTATGTGCCAGACACTATGCTTTGCCCTGCAGATGCCCACCTTTCTACCTTTATCGCATGTTACTCTTACACACACACACACACACACACACACACACACACACACACCCCTTCCCTGCAACAAATAATCATAGTCAAGCAAAATGTCATCATACTGCCGTGTTTTTCTCCCACCTCTGTACTTTTGCTCATGCTGTTACCTACACCAAGTATGTAGAACTCTACCTCCCATCTTCAAGGGCTAACTCAGGTGCCACCTCTTCAATGAAAACTTCTCAGATCCCCCAGCCAAAAATAAGTCCATTATCCTGAGCATTCTTATGATACCTGATTATACCTCTCATTCACATATTCA